GTTCAGAGTCTTCCATAAAGTATAATATGTTTTGTCCAAGTCTTTTGGTTTACAATATTTACCCAAAATAACTTGAATGAGTGCCATAATAATTATCAAAAATATAATAATTTTATAACGAACTGAAATTTGATATAATCAACAAAATTTTTTACTGTCATTGTGAAATTCGTCTTTAAAATTATGTATTGGATTAAGACTACTAAACTTTACTAAAACTGGTGTTTCAGTAGGGCAATATTGATTCCAGTGTGGGCAGATGACTTAAATGCATGGGATGAGTCCGCCTGGTGAGTATGCTGCGATTGTCATCTGTTTGCAGTACAGAGGATTATCTATACCTATTTTATTGTTCAGTAAAATGTAGTTCCTTTGTCTTTGCTACCATGAATTTCCAGGGATTTCCTCACTGGCACTTTATTCAGTACCGGAGTAGAATAAAATGCAATAGTTTATTACATACAAGTATTTTAATATTGTTTTTTAAAATAAAATCCCTAAAAGACTAATTTTACCAAATCCAACAACATTGTTACACTGCTGAATAGATATTTAAAATTAACCTTACTAATAATGTAAAATATAGTTAACCAAATATTTATAACATTTAATAAGTCGATAAGTAAAACTGATTTCCAAATCATAAACCTAGATTACATAGATTTTTTTACAATAAGAAATGTTGAAGAAATATCCTTATTGGCATTGTGTTAGTTATTGAATTTACTCTGTGGAAGTCAAACAGTTTCCTGATGTTATTAAGCCTCAGAGTTGCCGTTCTGCCCACTCAGGAAACAGCTGTCAGAATCCTATTTTCCTCTGCCGCATCGGAAGACCATTTTCCGCTTACAATCAATTATTGTCGTCCGGCCTCAGTTCGCGCTCTGGTTCGTCGTCCTCACATTTCTTGTGTCCCACAATTACCTCTGTAAACATCCGCTGCGATTGCCAGATCTCACGGAGTTGTTAAAACACCGTTTACATTTATTTATGTCACCTTTTCCGTTAAAACTTCAGTTGGGAATTGTTATACAGGCCTACAAACTACATATCAACTTGTATATGCTATACAGGATTTATATAATTCTATATTTTTACATGGGCTATAATAATTATGTAGTCGTATGAAATTAACTGAAAATGTGTTAATTAGGCTATGTTTTATTCTATTACGACGAGAAAGACAGATAGTGCTTAAATTTCCCAGTTTCGTGAATAGTGAATCCGTTGTAATTTAAAACAAATCGGTAGTCTACAATTCTTGATGAAAGGTTGTTTGTCTTCCGTCCTCTCTACTTCACGCAACATTCAATCAGAAACATTTTAATTGAACTCTCAAATCGCTGTCATTTCTTGTTAGTTATAATGAAATCATCATATAGTACTAAGTGACATCTAATAATAAAACAGAACCCAATTATTATGTACATATTTTTAATGTAGGCAAACACTTTTTTCCGTTACGTTTTGTTCAGCTCACAGCAAAGCAAAAGAGTAGTAAAGATATCCAACAACAATTGTTAGTGTTATATTTCCTGGGTTTTTTACCCAGGTTTCAATAAAATATTGAATATTGTGTTTTTAAATATTGCTTGTTATTCTGAGAGAGATCGAATTGGTAGAATCAAATTACATTCTTCACTTGAGTTGAGATGGAATCAGTTTACATTCTCGTCTCCGTGCCTCACGCCGCCGCGGGGAGCGCTGTGATGGCCGCGTCATCCAGCCGAAAAATTAATCGTAATATCCCTGGGCGATGTCAAGATAGAATTAATACCGCGTTATATGACTCAAATGAGTATCACGACAAGTAGCTCTGCTACGATATGACTTTACGATAACAAATGTTTTACTATGACACAGTGATGTTTGCAATACTATTGTAGTGTAGTGGGATTTTCTTTTGATTTATAGTTTTGACAGGTATCGTGTGATTTTTAGCAATATTATGTTTTCAGCACAGGCTTACGTGCACGATTTGGCTACAATGATTTATAAGTTTAACTTATTGACCTCAACATACTTTTTTGTTGCCTATATCTACAAACCGTGCTGACGTTGAGCTCAGTTTTAAACTGTAATGCACTGAAGAATCTGTAATTTCTTTTAGTCTAATTTATAGAGTTTAATAAGGGGTTCTGAATTAACATGTGTATTCGCGAAATAATTACGTATATGTAAAATCTTTATTTACATTAGGGAAGTCATGCTGTATTGTCATTATTTTTTTACTCTAGGAGACAATATACAAATGTAGGCTATATTTCCCAGATCAGGAAGGTCCCAGCAGGTCTCTCTCATATGATATTGTAAAGTCAGAGGATACGTTGGTGACAGGGCGTACGGGGAGAAATGTCTGCCATATCGACAACACATGATCACATATTTTTCGGCCTGGCTTTTCTCCAATTACAGATCTGATTTCTTGTCTCGCATTGCATTGTCTTTGGCTCCGTTTTCTCTCTTTCCAGAATATTTTTTTCAAAATCCAAACCCGTTTGTCCAGGTAAATGACCGACAATTTTGTTTTGTATAATTTGCCTGATACAAGATTTGCTTTGCAATGCATGAATTCTTTGACCATGAAAAAAGTTATGAATTATGCTTGAATTTTTCTATCTTGAATTTTCAAAATCATGAATAATAATTTAACCAATATACCTCTGAATTTGCTATATAAAAATATTTTATGTATTTCAAAACAGTACGAACATAACAAACACGAAGATAATATGTCTGGAGATGAAGTTCCACGATCAGAAACAATTGCTTAGTTCGTTTTAAATCATTTGAGGTCAAATGCTGATGATATCTGAGTCTTTCTAAGGACTGTATGTGTTTCAAAAAATCAATTTAAAAATATCATATTGTGGTAATATCAACCAGAATATTTTCATGCGGGAGGATAGAATAGGATATCCTAGGACGGGTGAGCGGGTATTTTGTTTTATTAATTGAAAAGACTGAATTAGACTAAATATATACTTTTTTATTCTTCGACAATTTTTCATTAGGAATAGCTCGACCTGTTTTCTTTTTAACTTCTGTTTTTATTGTATATATCTATAAATCACTCTAAAATAGTAGTTATTTTATTTATGAAATGTTGTTTAATAATAACACACAAAGAAACTGCCCCTTAATGTACATTTATGATATCAGCAAAACTTATATTTGTGTTGTGATTATAGGAGCACACCGACCATTATTTTAACTACCAATGAAAACCATGAATTCTGCATGAATTTGTTCATCATACTATGATGACAACCCTGTTTATTCTGTCTATGTTGTGCTCCTAAAACTAAAATTAAATCATTGGCCAAATCAACTGACGAATGGAATTGAGTTGTTTTAACCGGTAACTTTAATTTAATAAAAAATCTGCTATTTTACTCTTATGGTTTGAATGATAACTGTGACTGTGATTATTGAATCCCCTACAACTCATGTCCTATGTGTCTCCAGGTTATCCCCAGCCTCAGTACAGGTGGCTCAAGGATGGTGTGGAGTTGGGAGACTTCAGCACAGAACACTTCTACAGAATACACAACACCAGTGACTGTGATTATTGAATCCTCTACAACTCATGTCCTGTGTGTCCCCAGGTTATCCCCAGCCTCAGTACAGGTGGCTCAAGGATGGTGTGGAGTTGGGAGACTTCAGCACAGAACACTTCTACAGGATACACAACACCAGTGACTGTGATTATTGAATCCTCTACAACTCAAGTCCTGTGTGTCCCCAGGTTATCCCCAGCCTCAGTACAGGTGGCTCAAGGATGGTGTGGAGTTGGGAGACTTCAGCACAGAACACTTCTACAGAATACACAACACCAGTGACTGTGATTATTGAATCCCCTACAACTCATGTCCTGTGTCCCCAGGTTATCCCCAGCCTCAGTACAGGTGGCTCAAGGATGGTGTGGAGTTGGGAGACTTCAGCACAGAACACTTCTACAGGATACACAACACCAGTGACTGTGATTATTGAATCCTCTACAACTCATGTCCTGTGTGTCCCCAGGTTATCCCCAACCTCAGTACAGGTGGCTCAAGGATGGTGTGGAGTTGGAAGACTTCAGCACAGAACACTTCTACAGGATACACAACACCAGTGACTGTGATTATTGAATCCTCTACAACTCATGTCCTGTGTGTCCCCAGGATATCCCCAGCCTCAGTACAGGTGGCTCAAGGATGGTGTGGAGTTGGGAGACTTCAGCACAGAACACTTCTACAGGATACACAACACCAGTGACTGTGATTATTGAATCCTCTACAACTCATGTCCTGTGTGTCCCCAGGATATCCCCAGCCTCAGTACAGGTGGCTCAAGGATGGTGTGGAGTTGGGAGACTTCAGCACAGAACACTTCTACAGGATACACAACACCAGTGACTGTGATTATTGAATCCTCTACAACTCATGTCCTGTGTGTCCCCAGGATATCCCCAGCCTCAGTACAGGTGGCTCAAGGATGGTGTGGAGTTGGGAGACTTCAGCACAGAACACTTCTACAGGATACACAACACCAGTGACTGTGATTATTGAATCCTCTACAACTCATGTCCTGTGTGTCCCCAGGTTATCCCCAACCTCAGTACAGGTGGCTCAAGGATGGTGTGGAGTTGGGAGACTTCAGCACAGAACACTTCTACAGGATACACAACACCAGTGACTGTGATTATTGAATCCTCTACAACTCATGTCCTGTGTCCCCAGGATATCCCCAGCCTCAGTACAGGTGGCTCAAGGATGGTGTGGAGTTGGGAGACTTCAGCACAGAACACTTCTACAGGATACACAACACCAGTGACTGTGATTATTGAATCCCCTACAACTCATGTCCTGTGTCCCCAGGATATCCCCAGCCTCAGTACAGGTGGCTCAAGGATGGTGTGGAGTTGGGAGACTTCAGCACAGAACACTTCTACAGAATACACAACACCAGTGACTGTGATTATTGAATCCTCTACAACTCATGTCCTGTGTCCCCAGGTTATCCCCAGCCTCAGTACAGGTGGCTCAAAGATGGTGTGGAGTTGGGAGACTTCAGCACAGAACACTTCTACAGGATACACAACACCAGGAGGGAAGACGGAGGCAGATACCAGTGTGTGGCCAAGAATGACGTCGGCTCAATACTCAGCAAACCGATTGACGTCACAGTCGCATGTAAGTACTATCTGTAGTCTGCTTAGTGGTTCACATATGTGTTTACTAGTACAGTCAGTAAGTACAACAATTAAGGAACAGGTCGTATGGGTCAAATTGAAAAGAAACTCGACAATAACTTTTTTCAAAAAAATGTCTTGTCATCGAGATATTTCTCAAACACTAAATTAGCCCACATATCAAAACCAATGATTATTTTAATGCAATTAGTTTATTGCATACCTTCAATTCCATACCAAGTATCTTAATATAATATCTTCAATCGTTTTTGAGATTCAAATTTTTAGTTGAAAAAAAATTCCAGGTAACCTACCTTGGTAACTTGACGTTTTGTAAATTAATGTTATCGCACTGAGACAGACAAGTGTAGTTCATCCACAACACTACTTAGACACAGATTATTTCATAATTTATTGTTTGACATTGACTATGCAATTGTTTTTTATGTTTAATACTTGTAAACAGTATTGATATAATTTAGTTTAGATGAAAAAAGTATTTTGTAAAGGCCTGTAGTTTTTTTAAATTTAATATTATTAACAGGAAAATATTTTCATGACTGACAAGTTAACATCGTATTTTGGTTGAAACATGTCTAATGATATACTCTTAAAATGCACTCAGATTCTACTAAAGGTGGTGATGTCAATCAGTTTTGGACACAGCATAGCATATATCATCAGACAGAGTCTGTTAATAGATCAAAACTGATGATTGCAGTGTCCAATGAAAATCAATCATCATCAGACAGAGTCTGTTAAATAGATGAAATCTAATGTTTGCAGTGTCCAATGAAAACCAATCATCATCAGACAGAGTCTGTTAATAGATGAAATCTTATGATTGCAGGGTCCAATGAAAATCAATCGATCATTTGCCATCTGTGTACTCGATCTGCTGTCTTTCATATTGAGTTCAGTAAGAGTGTAATATTGAGACAGTAAAATTCATTCAATTAAATACATTTAATGTATTTTAAATTCATATCCTCTATTAATTTGAATATTGAGGCTTGCAAATAACAAAATGTATAAAATTAAACCCAACGCACATATTATATTATGCTATTGTGGACTAACAATAACTTGTTCTGGGGTATTGACAGTTTTTTTTGTCAGTCTCGGCATGCAATATAAGTTTAACTAATAGTAATGAGAATCCAGTAATTGATATAAACACAGTTAATTACTTCTCATCCAAACACTGTCATTATTTAGTAATTTGATATCATTGTATTCATATTGAAATTTGTTCACCGCATATTGTGGCTATATGCATATTTTTACATCCCTACACACATAATAGGATCGTTTTAAACAGTTTAATGTGACTTTTGAAATGGATTTTGTTAAAGGGGAAATAATTGTAACAAAGCTTGTGGAAATGAGAATAAAGCTATTATTCACAATGACATTGTGGCTTCATTTATTCGGTTGATTAATGAGAGCTCAAATAAAAATAACATTGTTGACCAATATCCAGCCTGTTATTATTGTTTTTTTCTAGTAATATGAAACCTTGAAAAGCTAAAGCCGCTTGGAAAGGAATAATGTTTTTAAAAAGCACAGTTTTTCTTGACTTAAAATTCTAAAATGTCATTTTAGGTATTATTATTAGGGCAAAAGGGAATCAGACTCAAGGTAATTTGTGTTTATATATTATTATTAATTTTCCTTTAGGTAATTTTAAAAAGCCTAAACGAATTTGTTTGATTTGACATTTTGATCATGTCAATTTATACAATAGTTTATTACACAATGTGTAGCAATTTTAAAATCATGCTTATTTAAACACCGAGTGGCTCCTAACAAACTTTGACCTGAACAGGTTCTAGTTTACAAATCTATTATTTATGAAGATAGGAACAGAAGTTTAAAAATCTCTGAGGCCTTGGTGTGATGGCCAAAGACAGATCAGACAGTGGCAAGTAGAAAACTGCTACAGCTGGAAATAGTTGAATGTATTAGGTTTGTGGGGCCATGAAATGTTGCTCCTTAGCAGTGCTTGAAGCAATCCTGGGTATGCTTTCACTGGGCCAGGAAGTTAGCTAGGAAATGTGCTGCCACGACAGACCTTAAGATGGAAGCAGAGGCAAGCTAAAGCCTTAGATAGGGCCTGAACTAAGGGATTATTCGAGCATGGATATGGAACTAGCTGCCCTAGATCTTAAGACCAAAGAATATGACTTAGGGGTTCCCTATCATGTTGCTTTAGATAACAGGAGTGGCTGACAAGAAGAGGAGCTCAAGATGGACAGGTCATGCCAAAGACAGAGAAGTTGAAAGCAAATTATTCATAACAATTATTTATAATTGTAAAATTAGCCCTTGGAAGCACAGCAATGGTTTTTCAGTCGGAGGTCTTGGCGATTAAGTGTTCTGCACAAACCCTCCCCAACAAAAATCTGAAGAAAAGAAAAATACTGATCCTCTCAAATAGCCAAGCCCCTACCAAGCCGCTGGAGTCATGTGTAACAAAGACACACACAGTAAAGGGGTGCAAAAGTACTCAAGGCTCTTTAGCAATACTAAACAAAGTAAAGATTGCTTGGATTCTGGGGCAGCCAGTAAGATCTACTTACAGGACCAGAGCCCTACTGCGGTGCCTCCATTTGCATTGGAGAATTCAAAGTCTGGAACTGGGAAAAAACCAGAAGGTTCTGGCTGGAGGACCAATCCGGGTCTAAGGATCTAAAAAACTACAAAGGAATGGAATACTGATAGACCCCTCAGAAAGGAACAGAAAGGCATACTGAGCCTTAAGAAGAGGCATATTAGACTGCTAACTGAGCATCGCCCAATAAGGAAAAACCTATGAATTATTGGGTAACACAGACAGACCAATGTAGATTCTGAGAAAATGAGTCAAAATCTTCCAAAGACTTGTGTCTGAAATGTCCGGCCCTGGCTCAAAAAAGGTTAATCTCTTTAGGAAGACCACCTGAGATGAGATCAAAAGGTCAAAGTTGTTAGGGATGAAATTCAATTATTTAGTTCTAATTTAACTAGTATCTAATAATTTAGTTTAACCAAATTAGTTAAACCATAAACCCATAGAATAAATATGGTATAGACCGACAGCAGTGCTGCGGTTAGCATATGTTCCGGCGTCCACCCTAGGAGTGCAGTATAGTTACAGCGCATACCACTGCAGGGTCTGCAAGTGGCATACGGCTTCTCGCCTGCAGCGGTGTGCGCCATAACTTCACGGCACTCCTAGTGGCACATCGCGAAACCTTCCTTTGATAGTCTATATTTATTCTATTTATCTATGGTTGAACCAACCAAATTTAGGATAGATAAACCCATATCTATTTAAGTCTGGGTATAGACACTTAATTCAATAAGCAATTGATCAGTGGTAGAGAGGATATACTATTCTATATCCTTTGATTTATCTTTTGCTTGAGGAACAGAGTTGCACCGTCTCCAGTTTGATTGTTATGTGTGTCTGTTTGTCTACAGATATGGGAGTGTTTGAAGACCAGAGTGAGCGCACTGTCTCTGTGTCACGGGGAGAAGCTGCAGTGCTGGAGCTTCCTCAGATCACCAGCCACCCTCAGCCCCTGGTCATCTGGCAAGCAGACGACGGGTCTCAGCTGTATGGCCGAAAATATGCAGTCACTCATCAGCATCAGCTGGTCGTCCTGTCAGTCACTGACAATGATCAGAAAGCATACAGGTAAACAACTGAAAAATAATAATAAAACTATTTATGAAGTTAGGGTAACTATAGTTTATATACAGGGTGACACAAAGGAACCGGACGTTTTTTTAACAGCTGTTCCATTGTTGTCGTACGTTGTAGGAAGATTGAGGTTATGTCATTACCTTCAGTAAGGCTTGCCATTTTTGTTGAAATGGCTTAGTGGACCCTAGACCATCGCGTTTTCGCATACGAAACTTCAGTCCAAAATGGTGAATCCGTCGACAAAACCCAGTGGGAATTTAGTCAACATTTTAATATTCAACGCCATGGAACGGTTTCAAGCCGAATTACGTTATTAGGGTGGGTATTAGGGTTCCGAACAACTGGAAATTTAACAAGAAAGAAACCACCAGGCTTCTAGAACTTCGAGAACACACGAAAACTTCGCCAGAGTGAGTGCAGTATTGAATGAATGTTTCCTAACAAGGTGATTTCTCTCTTTGGTGACATACCGTGGCCACCAAGGTCACCTGACTTGTCCTTTAGTGATTACTTCCTTTGGGGGTTCCTCGTTTTTATGCTCACTAACCACGCACTCTAGAGGATTTGAAGTTGGGAATCACAGAAGATATCAATGGCATTGAACAAGACCTCCTGACCGGAGTTACAGATGATTTTCAGACCAGAATGAACATTTGTAGATAAGTACATGGCCACCATATGCATGACGTCATTTTCAAAAAATGACTGTTTTGTAACAAATGGCAAATGTTTACCTCACTATGTACAGTATCAAAACCATTTTATTCCATGTAACTACTGTGTACTACTTATTTAAAAAACGCCCGGTTCCTTTGTGTCACCCTGTATTTGAAAAAAAAATATATCATATACCATTTGTTTGAAAAAATGTAATTATTCTCGTGATATTGACTTAAAAACATAAATTTACTAGTTTTCTAAAACTGGTAATTAAGTTTTTATGTCTTTTAGATGTAATGGGACAAATAAACTTTTGTTTTGAATATTTCTTTACTAATGGCGCTTAAAACTACTACTTAAAACAAATATATACACATTTTGGATGTACAATAACGTCTTCAGCTACAAACAATACATCCTTTGAATGAGCTTATCAGGTATTTGGTTATAATAGTGAATGAAGATAAGCATTCGACCTAATGTTATGTATTAAGGTACCAGCATAAAGTAAACAGAATGCCAAGAGTGAGATATGAGATTAAGTTATTCAATCTAATTTAAAAGTATAACCCAATTTACCCGTCTTTTATGGAAGGTAGTTGTTTTGTTTTGCATTCCATTTATCACAGTAAGGAGTATTTCCATTTAAACAAACTTGTTTACTGTACTTTTTCTCACTAATTATTCAAGCACTTGCAAACATTTTCATTCTAAACAGAATAAAGCTAGCATTGATTTATTTTAAGAAAAGGTCTCAACTTTTAACAATAATTTTGACTTCCATTGGTTGCAGTTTTTCTGTTGACAAAAGTTGTAATTAGAAAGATATGAATTGAAATCTATTCTGTTTTCTATCTATCCTGATTGATTTCTTACCTAATATCCAGACTGTTCCTACTCTAGTAATTTTTATGGTTTGCATATAATTCAGCTTCGATGTTCAATAAGATGTACAGACAACAATATAAATATATACTTCAGAGGCTAATTCATACTGTGGGTGTTGAAAGATTTATAACTTTGTAGTTTTGCTCCAATTTGAGATAAGACAGACTACTGTCTAGTGTCTATCCATTAAAATGATTTGCTTTAGTTATACTAGTGAATTAATTCATCAAAATTATTGTGACTTTTTTTCAATCTTTTACAAATTTGTTTTGTTTTGTTTCTAGTTGTTGTCTATGAGCTGTTTAGCTGAGATGCGTAGGTAATTTTCTATACCTCACACTGTGTTGTGGTTTAGCTAGTATTGACACACCAGTTATGTTTCAGAGCTCGCGCCACCAACACTCAGCTAGGCAAGGAGGAGAACAGTGCCTATGTCCGACTGGTGGTCCGGGGTGGAGACCCGGGAGGGGAGATTGCTCCAGAGATCATTGTCAGCCCTCGGGACTCCCACATCCTCAAGGATACCCTAGCCACAGAACTGCAATGTATAGTTAATGCGAGGTGAGTAGTTCTAAAGTTCTTGTCATTAATTTAAATTTGTTCTTAAATAAATAACTAGTCTTAATTTGTTTTAATGAACAGCTTTCCAAAGAATTTGAAGATTACAATTATTCCTTAAAGAATACCCACCCTTTGTTACAGAGTGATTAATTTGTTTTTGGACACCAAATATTAATGTTACATTGTAACAGGGCAATTCCCTTACAAATAGCCACGAATAAGAAATAGTCGTTTGTACATAGGTGATGTACAATAACATCTAGCAAAGAGTAAATGAACAATTGGTTTTCCTAGAATTTGAAAGTCAAATCTATATTTTGATGACCATATTTTAGATTATATTTTGTTTTCTCCTTATATAAAAATCTGTAATGTGTAAAGGTAAAATAATTTGAATTGTTACTTGTTCCATCCTATGGGTCATCAATTAGTACTACTTAAAAATATATGAATTTTACACTCATTTGATGATTTAGATATTTTTTAAATCACATTATAGTACTGACATACTACATTTAACTTGACCATTGTTTCCCTGCCAGGCCCCTGCATGAGCTGGAGACTCTATGGCTGAAGGATGGTATCCCGGTGGAGAACACTGGCATCAATCACAACCTGAACGACCCGTGGAACCGCACACTGAGTTTAGTATCTGCCAACCTCACACACACAGGCAGATACACCTGTCAAGCGAGGCTACGTAGCGGAGGCTTCCCTGCAGTCGAGGCTACGGCTCAGGTCACTGTGCTGGGTGAGTCAGGCTTACCGTGGTAACACAAAAACAAAGCCCCTCCATCTCTCTTGATCTCTTGCTTATATACCTCAGCTGCTCCTATTCTCTCCAGATCAAGAAACACCATTACTGCCCTGACCTTCCCCTTGGTTGTCCTCCTTCAGAATTTCTTTATTGTTTAAGACTTGTGTAATTCCTGTTTCCCTGAAATTGCACAGCTCCTCTAAATCTACGATTATTAATGTTATGTTTCCAAATGATACATTCATAGATGAACATATTGTAACCTGATGTCTAGTGTAGTTTGTGTATATTGTGTGGTGTTTGTTGTACAGAGGCTCCATCGTTTGTATCCAACCTGAGGCCTGAGACACTGGGAGAGTACGGCAACACTGTGAAGCTACCTTGTGAGGCCAATGGGGAGCCAGCACCATCCATACAGTGGCTACACAACGCCATAGACGTCATGAGCTCCACCCACAGAGACAGGTAATGAGACCAAGGCAGCGGTCCAGTTCTATTCGTTGAATTCATAACAATTCAATTGTTGGCTTTATGTTTATTCACCACCATTTAAACATTACCATTGACTTGAGCTGACCCTCTCCCTTCACTCAAATTAAAGGGAATTGGTTTTGTTCCAACTACAATTTGCAATATAATCTAATGGCATACCCACATGGACTAGCTGCAGCCATTTTTTATTTTTTTATTTTAAAGAACATAGTTGGATGAGCTACAGACTAAAATTCCATTTCCTTCTATAGTTTTTTGTCACTGTGATGTGGTAGTTTATGTATCATAAAAGATGCTATATAGAAGTTGTTTTTGCCAACCTGGTCGATAAATCTGTATATTTAACAGTAAATTACACTTTAGTGCCCTCTGTCAGTGGCTTGATTCAGCTTTGTTTATTTTTATTCTAAAACTAGTTTTAACTTTAACCAGAATAGAAAGTTTTGTTATATCCATTGTCAAGTAAATAATTTAATTCCCAGTTTACCTATCCAACCTAACTTGCTGTGAGTTTAAAGGATTGAAGTAAAAGATTATGTAGCCAATTATTAGTAAAGAACCCAGTACTGGTACCCAATAACAAGTAGAAGCTATCCTGGTGAGAAATAGCTAGGTACCATCTATGAGGTACAAAACCAATATATGGGTGTATTGTCTAGATATATGGTGGAAGAAGACAAGTCCCTGGTGATAAAGAAGCTGAGGATGGAAGACACGGGGATGTACCAGTGTGTGGCGACCAACGAGGCTGGCAGCGACTTTGTCACTACCTGGCTCAAAGTGAAAAGTAAGTCTATCAGGAGGCTTATTGTATTCACTGTTATAAGTCATGTAATTATTGTATTACTTTCAATGAAAATTAAGCTATTTATTTATACATGATAAAAATGAGTTGATTTGAGCCTATATTAAAGTCAGGTAGACCTACTTATCAAAATAAATTTTTCCACTTAAAGAAACCTCATCAAACATTGAACAAAGGATGTAAACTGCCACTTACAACCTTTATTTTGTACCTTAGTACTACACACACAAAAACAGTTGTTGTAAATAACATAAAACAAAATTTTATAATGTAGCAACTACAACATGTTTTTTGTGCGTAAATAATTTGCCAGCAAACAATCGACATAACAACACTTGTCTGCTCAAGATAACATACATTAATTTACCTCTTACACAAAAAATTACTCTTACTCTTACCCAAAAATGATTCTATTTTTCTTACTATTTAGACAATCGATCATATGAAGAGTACAGCACATAATGAGTACATGTCTTCATACATCTCTTTACAAAGTGTATCTAGACTGTTACACTATACTTAATGTGTTTGAGTATTTTTATAATTTATTTTATTACATAAAACTGCTGTATCATAACATGCTTTTTCTTTTGAATTTTAATTTTAAATCTTCCTAGACGTCTGTTAAACAACATAAATTGCATAAAATGAAACATTATCAGTGACATTTTCCTTTGAGTGAACAAGCTTTGATGTACAGTTTTGTGCTTCTGCTTATTAACATGCTTTGATATTTATTCTAAATTATTATACATTATTCAACTATTTCCATGTATATTTCTTGTGTCAGAGATGTATAATAACACACTTTAGTCTAAGTCTTGCACTGTACGCTTCTTAAGCGAACGTGTGGAGTGAGTAGTTTTGGAACATTTTATTCCCACAGAAGTGTGGCGCCGTGCTCGTTGGATTGACCGAGCAGTTTCTCGACTACGACAGTCAGATTTACGTCGAGCTCCTCGTCGTAAGCTGCTAAACATTGTTGTTGCTCACGTTGCTTTGCATGAACCTCCATCAATAGCCTAGCCCCATCCCTTCCACTTTTGAGTGTTGAGTGTTTGCACTGGATTTTTTATTTTCATTCTGATTGTCTTTTGTTTTTTTAGCATAGTTTATTTTTTTCAATTTATTTTATTTTATGAAGTTATAAATTGTCATTGATGATCGTTTGGTTATTATATTTGTTTACTTAAGATTATTGGACCAAGTAATTTATTCTGGTTACACTATTGAAACAAACAATAAAGAATTTTTCAATTCAAATTAAATATTTTCTTTATCAGTTAGGCAGCCTACTTTTTTTAGAACTGGTAAAGATAACCACTTTTCTTATAGAAATCAATATTAGTTTAAAATCAATCCTTGAAAAATCATTTAAATAAATCGACCTTGGATATTTTTGTTCTTTGAATGGTATAATTTTTATACCTTTATTTTTTGCATTTAGCATTTTTTTAGGTAGAGTTGGAGTAACAAATAGATTTTAGTTAGTGAGAAATAATTCCACCACGTTTCTAGTTAGTTTAGCGAATATAATTTTAATTACTTAATTACAATTATTTTTACATTTTGACAATGTGTTTTGCATGGCACTTACTTTAACATTTCATTTTGAACGTAATTATTATGCTTTCATACATATATCAGCCTTTCTCAATTTAACTTTTTTACCTTGATGAATTTTTGTTGAGCTACTCTAACAATTGTAACAATTCAATCAATAAGTCAATTAATTTAAAATAGTTGAGTTTAGATTTAAAACATATGTTTTAAAAATACTTTTTCATCACTCCGTAACAAAAGTAACTATTTTCGATAACAGCTGACATCAATAAAAGTAGTTGTTTCCCAAGCTCTAATTTAGGACGAAGTCGCTCTAAATTTACTTTCCCTCGCTCTCAATTAGTTCTCCATTTATTCACTATGCGCGCTAGTGTTTTGTTACGGTTTAATTTAATGATGTGAATCAGCTGTGTGTATGGTTGAAAGTTGTTTAATTCTTTTATTTTGATGTTTAAACAAAATTTATAAAAAAAAACGTAGGCTTTAGAATATTTTCTCCTATTTTTTGTTTTTAAAATTAATCAAAAATAAACCTAGGATTCCTTTTAAGTTTTAAAAGATTTTGTTTTATTTTGATGTTCAATCTAATTAATTGAGAAATAAAACAGTTCAATATTACTGAGGTCTGCTATTCTCTGTTTGTGTATTTTTACGTTGTGATGAAAAGTATCGTTCATAACTCGTACCGAAAGTTATTATCCGGCACTTGCTCCATTATTCCCGTCCTCGGCTTCACCTCGTACGTAAAAATAACTCTCACATACATACTCTCGCACGTGAAATTGGGGTTCCCTGTGTTCGGCTTCGCCTCACACAAAAACTTGAGCGCGCGCCGGAAAATGCCACTTTCGGTCCTAGTAATGAAATATGCTATTACACATTTATTTGTGCCTTCAAAAACACAAGACTTACTTATTTTCCTGTACCATTTACTTACTCCTATATGATACTCTAGTCTAGTACTGACATGGTGTATGTTTGCACAGCCTCTGCTCCCATCATGGAGACTCCACCTCAGAATGTGACAGTGTTGGATGGCAAGGATGCTATCATCTCCTGTAGAGTAGCTGGAGCACCCACTCCCAACATCACTTGGTACTATCAAGGTATATACTCCAACATTACAACTGGAAAATGTAAAACTCTTAATGATGCGAGGCAGATTAACCTATTCAAATTTCAATGTTTTTACAAACAAATGATGCTGCCTTCTTTTTCTATGAAATATAAATTGGTGGAATTATTAAAATATTTCATCTTAGTTTATATCGCAACAAACCAGGCTGACAAACCTCATCGAATTTATAATATTTACAAACCAACGTGTTTTCTTATACAGAATTTCCAGGAATATCTAAATTGGTTTGATTTGAATCATCGATAAACCAAAGATTAGTTTGTATCACAATTTACGAACATATCTGGGTCCACAGTACACAAAGAAGGTTCAAACAATTTAAAATTGATTTAATGAATTCCCAACAATTATTGAGAATTCCTACTTAGCCTATTTTACTCAGTGAAATAGCAGTGCTTTGTTACTCTGTTAAGTTTAAGAATGTGAAATTTGTATTTAAGGGCTAAGTAATACTTTTTATCTGAGTTACGTCAACCTCTACAGAAGCAATTTATCTAAATCTGAAAACTATGTATGCCACTGAAGAGAATTTCTTACATCAATATTAATGTATATTCCAATGCAACTATTTTTAAATGCTGGAAATCCCTAAAATCAATGGAAACCAGCTTAGTTCCACAAGTTGGTATAATGTAGGTTATACACATAGGAATTATATGAACATTGTGAAATGAAAAAAAAACATTTGAACCTATTTACTTTAACATTAAACTAAAAGCAGAAGTTTTTTATCATTTCGTCATTTCTGAAAATTTAGTTGTTTTCATGATGTTGTAAATGTTTGTTGCAGACTCCCAGCCTGTAGAGTTGAGTGGTCGTCTGCAGGTGCTGGAGTCAGGAGATCTGCTAGTGGCCGCAGTGAGGGAGTCAGACGCTGGCAAGTACGCTTGTGTCAGGGCCAATGAGGCTGGCCAGGTCTCTGCGGCTGGCTACTTGTCTGTACTAGGTAAGTCACAACAACAATTATATCCTATAAACTAAAGATTTGTTGTTGTAGATCTCTATACCTTTGACTATTGATAAAAGGAGACACCCCATTCCTATTTTAACTATATAGAAATTTATAAAAATGGAACAGTTGAATGTGCCACTGACAGAGTGTGGCGCTGGTGTCAAACATTAAAACAAAAAAAGAAAGAACAACTAATTTTAAACCATATCATCTTTAATATTACACCAAAAAATGCCATAAAGGAGGTATGAAATGTTGACAGCAGCACATTCAGTGAGTGGCTCATGATCTGTTAGAACATTAAATTGGCTACAGTTGGTCCACATAGAGGGGATGTGTACTTCAAATTTCAAAAGTCAATAGTTATATCAAACATTGATTCAACATAATTAAACTTATTACTATTTTAAATGGATAATGTTTATTTGCAGTGAGGACTCAGATTATCCAACCCCCAGTGGACACCAGAGTTTTGCTTGGCAACACAGCTACTCTACAGTGTAAAGTGTCCAGTGACCCCTCAGTGCCTTACCAGATAGACTGGTTCCATAACGGGCAGTAAGTAGAAGTGGTTGTGCATGGATCATAAAAAATCTCATTAAAAAACTTATAAAATAAGGTTTTAGATTATTAGGATCTTTATTGTGATAGCAGAATTACCTGAATGGAGAAGAAGAACACACTCTGACACAATAAAACAAAATTCTTGACTTAAAAAATAGAATACATCACTGTTAATGACAACATATTTATTAACCAAAGAAGGTTTCAGTGGGAATGAGAGATTTCTTCCAACTTAAACTTTCCTTGGTAAAAAATGTTATCAGTAGCTAGTGAGATATAAAACTCGTTTTGTGCAATATAGTTTTTTTTTTTGTGTGTCTTGTGTTAGAATTGGCTCTTACCTATTTACATAAGCCATATCTTTAAAAAAATCCTTATTCCGAGCAATTGTGTTAATATTTTAAAGTTAATCCAAATAAGATATTTTCAATCTTCTATTAAAAATTTGCTCTTAAAATTTCAGGTTCAGGCTAGTGTATGTTTCAGATAGGTTAGTAGTGAAGGTACTTTTAGTTTTTAAATCTTTGAATTTACATATTCTATTAATCAGTTTTAATCTTATTATTTCTAGAATGAATGCTTAGGCCTCTGAGAAATATGTTGCAACATTTTAAAGAATAAATATTGTTCAAATGATTTTTTGTAGAAATTTCTTCTGTACAAAGATTGTTTTAGTTACTAAACTAAATTATCAGTAAATTATGTGGGAACTAATGATAGCTTGGTTTTCCAGACCTGTAGGTGTGGGGTCGCAGCGTGTCAGTGTAGCAGGGGACGGCACTCTAGAGATACAAGCTGTGAGAGCCGCTGATGTAGGTGATTACACCTGCGCTCTGGTGTCCCCGGGGGGCAATGAGACCCGGACAGCACGGCTCAGTGTTATAGAGCTGCCCTTCCCTCCCACCAACCTCGTGGCTACCAGACTGGACAACCGAGCCATCAACCTCACCTGGGCACCTGGCTTTGACGGCAATAGTGAGATACTCAAGTACATCGTGCAGCGGAGAGAAGTCTCTGACCTGGGTGAGTTTACTTTACACAACCAAAATACGGTGATTAAAATACAACATTTTTATGATTTGTGTAACCAGAAATCTTTACATGAAAATTAAAAATAAAGCATTTTCTAATGTGTTGGTTTGCTGATAAATTTGTGGCAAGTCGATTCAAGCATATCAAATCAGTCTTTAGAGAAATATTAATATTGTCCTCTATACAGTTAGGGTAATACAATATCAACAAGAATAATTAGAAACAAATTTAAATGTAGATCTTGCAATTGATAATTGTTATAAACTCCAAGCCAACTTCAATAGATAACTTTGACTTTGACTCTCACATTACACATACGATTTACAAACTAATCAATTCTACTCATTCCAGGCCCAATCACAGACAACTGGGTGACAGAGCTTAGCAATGTGTCTGCCAGTCATCGTTATGTCTTGCTGCGGAACCTCAAAGCTGCTGCTTCGTACCAGTTCAGAGTCAGCGCAGTCAACAGTGTAGGGGAGGGGTCACCCTCAGACCCTTCTAATGTCATCGCTCTTCCTCAAGAACGTAAGTTTACAACTCAACTGTTTTGTTTGATTTCATTAAGATTTTTAACATTCTTAGTAGGGATGGACGGGTCCCGAAATTTCGGGAATTTTTCGGGAAAAAAATATTCCCGATTATCGGGACGGGATTACATTTGACTCGGGAATTTTTCGGGACGGGATTTGGTCCGATCGTCGGCGATTTTTCCGCTTCGCGAGTGCCGATAACGCCGTTATTGCGAGCGATAGGTCCGCGAACGCAGGAGACGAAGTCATACCGACGATCGCGCCGTGACCGCGGAGTTCTACTGACGATCGCGCCGTGACCGCGAGTCATACCGACGATCGCGCCGTGACCGCGAGTCATACCGACGATCGCGCCGTGACCGCGAGTCATGACGACGATCGCGCCGTGACCGCGGAGTCATACCGACGATCGCGCCGTGACCGCAAGTCATACCGACGATCATGCCGTGACCGCGAGTCATGACGACGATCACGCCGTGACCGCGGAGTCATGCTGACGATCGAGCCGTGATCGCGAGTCATACCGACGATCACGCCGTGACCGCGAGTCATACCGACGATCGCGCCGTGACCGCGAGTCATACCGACGATCGCGCTGTGAGCGCGAGTCATACCGACGATCGCGCCGTGACCGCGTGTCATGACGACTATCGCGCCGTGACCGCGGAGTCATACCGACGATCATGCCGTGTTCGCGAGTCATACCGACGATCATGCCGTGACCGCGAGTCATACCGACGATAACCCCGTGACCGCTGAGTCATACCGACGATCGCGCCGTGACCGTGGAGTCCTACCGGCGATCGCGCCGTGACCGCGAGTCATGACGACGATCGCGTCGTTACCGCGAGTCATACCGACGATCGTGCCGTGATCGCGAGTCATTACGACGATCTCGCCGTGACCGTGAGTCATACAGACGATCACCCCGTGACCCGCGAGTCACAAGTTACTATAGGTACCTGTAAATTGTTACCCATTTTTTGGTTTTTATAGATCAGTGCCACAAATGGTAAAAATTGATTTCGTATGTCTTTTTTTGGTAACTGCAATACAGTACTTTCTTTTTATGCACAAAAAAAATCCCGTCTCGTCCCGTCCCGAATTTCGGGAAGGAAATAAAAATCCCGTCCCGTCCCGTCCCGAACTAAAAATTCAATCCCGTCCATCCCTAATTCTTAGACATTTTAAAATTTGTTGATATTTAATGTGTTTGGTTTTATTATTGTTTTAATTTATAAAATTATATTAGCTTTCATGAAAAACGAACAATGAATTAAATATGATAATTTTATAATCATTCTCAAAATAAATTGGTTGATTTGTTTAACTGTAAAATAAAGTTTAAAAGTGTTCCAATTAGGACTTTCAATCTGTTTCTTGTAGGTAATCCCTAATTTATACACAAATCAGAGAGGGATCATGGAATTATTTTATAAGGCTTTAAACTTAATTATTGAAATGTTTTTAGGATTTATTTATTTGCTACTCAATAGTAGTTAATAAATATGAATTAAAAAACCTAACAAATATTTAAGTAAATGTAAATTCTAATAGCATTAGTAAAATATAACGGTAGGCCTAAGCTTTTTTAAATCATCAAAATAATTAACATTGTTCTGTAATTTTGCAGCACCGTCAGGGCCTCCTATAGGGTTTGCAGGATCAGCCAGGTCATCATCAGAGATCATCACGCAGTGGCAGCCCCCCATAGAGGAACACCGCAATGGTCAGATCCTGGGCTATGTGATCCGCTACAGACTCTACGGCTACAATGAGAGTCCTTGGAACATCCGCAACATCACCAATGAGGCTCAACACAACTACCTGGTACAGGGGCTGATCACATGGAAGGACTATGTGCTGCAGATTGCTGCTTACAACAACAAGGGAGTGGGAGTGTACAGCGACGGCATCAGGATCAAAACCAAAGAAGGAGGTGAACTGCTTTACCAAACTTCCTTCATAGATAATTTGAGCATTTAAAAAATACATGTTAAAAAAAAGAATTGTTATTGAGGGTCTTGTTATTAAGGTTCTACTGTATTACAGTTTATTTTTCAAGCTTTTTAGAATGTAATCGAAAGTACAATCAATGGGACCGATTTTTAATTATTTCAACACTGTAGAATATTAACCTAAATGATATAATAATATAATGTAAAATATATTACGTTATATTGTAATATATTTATTTCCCTGTTTTCGCACATATATTTATCACAACTTGTGTTGACAGTACCTGAGGCCCCACCCACTGATGTCAAGGCTGAAGCTGTCAACTCTACCGCAGTACAAGTCTGGTGGAAGCCTCCTCACCCGCAGAAGATAAACGGAATTAATCAAGGATACAAACTGCAAGCGTTTATTGGTAAATATTTATTTCCTTGTGAAATTAAGTCTCTAGTTGAGTTAAGAAGATCAATCACTTTTAAAACACTTTGGCATAATAATAATTTAATGTTGTTAAATTAGTTATATTGATAAAATATTATTAATAAATTATTAAATTTAGCTCATCTGACGACACAAAATTTAGCGAAGAGTTTGAAAACTGTTATATGCAATTTTGTAATATATCTTTTGACACCTTCTTGATTTACTGTGGAAACTACCAACTAACTATTGAGTAAATAATTGAGTAGTTTTTTGTTTTGCCCCTTTTATCACTTTCAAGATATATCTAATTTCTTTTGTAATAGACCATTTACAATGCAACTGTGATGTTACAGGTGGGGGAGTCAGCAGAGTGATGACAGTTCCACCAAGTCTGTTTGACCCGTTGGCTCAACAGAGTGCTGTCATGTCTGGTCTGCGTAAGTTCACCAGTTACAACTTGACAGTCCTGTGCTTCACAGACCCTGGAGATGGTCTGCCCAGTAACCCGGTGGAAATTACCACTCAGGAGGATGGTGAGGTTTATATTTGTATTGAAAATAAAATTTGTCTACGTTGTCATACAAAGTGGCATTTTATTTACTTGAATTAGTTTGCAATGTTTCCAACATTTACATTTTACTTTGAAAACATTTGATGTTTTCAGTACAATTTTTTCACTTTGGATGACAACTGAACAAAATAAAATTTATTATGATAAAATTTTAATTTTTAGTTGAATAATAATCAACAGGAAATGACCCTTATGAAGGTTTCAATTGATTCTTAAATAAGTAAAATGTTATATACAGGGTGAGTTTTTATTGTCCCCCCCCCCAACTTTTTTCTACATTTTTTCAAATATCAATCCCAGACCACTTCCAAACATTGTTGGGTAGTAAGTACTTCATTTTGACAAGGTGGCCATTTCCGGCCGCCATCTTGGATCCGCCATATTGGATGCAAAATTTTTTTTTCAAATGTAAAGGTGGGGTTGTGACCCATTATTTCAAACTAAATTTTTACCCTGATTACAATGCCGCAAACCGTTTAAAAAAATCTTGATTCATTCTAAAGTTATGAGGGCTTTTTAAAACTTTATTTTTAGCCCATTTTAACATTGTGCATTTACAAACTAAGACCATAATCTCAAAATAGTGCTAGATAAAGATAAGTATACACTACCAGTAATTGTCGACCTATTTTCACTTGGTTATGACTGATGTATTTTTTTCGGCCGCCATCTTGGATCCGCCATTTTGAAATGTGATAAATTATTTTAAATATGAAGGGGGCGTTGTGACCTATCATTTCGAACTACTTTTTTAAGCTGAACTTAATTCTATGATCCGTTTTTCATTTTCATTTTTTGATTTTGAAATATTGACATTTTTAACAAAAAAATTTCAATATTTCATAAATAAAACTTGATAACAAAAAATGGGTTGCGGCATTGTCTTTAGCTTAAAAAAGTAGTTCGAAATGATGGGTCACAACACCCCCTTCATATTTAAAATAATTTATCACATTTCAAAATGGCGGATCCAAGATGGCGGCCGAAAAAAATACATCAGTCATAACCAAGTGAAAATAGGTCGACAATTACTGGTAGTGTATACTTATCTTTATCTAGCACTATTTTGAGATTATGGTCTTAGTTTGTAAATGCACAATGTTAAAATGGGCTAAAAATAAAGTTTTAAAAAGCCCTCATAACTTTAGAATGAATCAAGATTTTTTTAAACGGTTTGCGGCATTGTAATCAGGGTAAAAATTTAGTTCGAAATAATGGGTCACAACCCCACCTTTACATTTGAAAAAAAAATTTTGCATCCAATATGGCGGATCCAAGATGGCGGCCGGAAATGGCCACCTTGTCAAAATGAAGTACTTACTACCCAACAATGTTTGGAAGTGGTCTGGGATTGATATTTGAAAAAATGTAGAAAAAAGTTGGGGGGGGGGACAATTAAAACTCACCCTGTATAAAATTAATTAAGGATATTTTAGTTTGATGACGAGGTTATCATTCATTTATGAAGATGATTAACAGTATGTAAAATTGTAAATGGATAGAATTTTTTTTTTTTTTTTGCTAAATTTGTTTGAAATGACATTGTTTATTATGTGCACATGAATGTCGCTGTCAGGCACAAAACATATTAACGTCAATGTTGTAGGCCTAAGTATGTTTGTTGACCACAATATTTTTTCTCAAACTAATAATAACTGTTTATTACATTAAAATCTGTAGACAAAATATAAAATGCAATTTGAGATCAAAATTTTATAAATTTGACTCCCAGCAATATTTGTGCGTCCACATTTTTTTAGTTTAAAAAACTGCCACTTTGGCCACAAGTTGCTCAAATAACTATTTTGTTAGAGAAAATGACAATTTGACTAATTTTATTCTCCACTCCCAGTTCCAGATGAAGTAGGAGGTCTACAGTTTGAAGATGTGTCGGACAGAGCTGTGAAGGTTGTGTGGCTGCCACCAGAGAGAACCAATGGTATACTGACTGGTTACACACTCAGCTACATGGTCAAGGACAAGCCTGATACTCTCAAGACTGAGAACTTCACAGCAGACACTCTGAGTGTGATGGTGACACAACTGCAGGCCACAACACACTACAGGTTTGAGGTGAATGCTTGGACCAGTGTTGGCGCAGGGCCTAGACGAGTAGCCACCATACAGTCTGGTGTAGAACCTGTACTGCCCTCTCCACCCACCAAACTGGCTGTCACCAACATCGAGGCGTTCTCTGTTGTGTTGCAATTCACACCCGGGTTTGATGGCAATTCCTCCATCACCAAATGGATTGTCGAGGTAATGATTTGTTTACACACAAAATGTAATTACATTTAAACAATATTGCATTAATTAGCAATATTAACTTAGATAAATACTACAATCTATTAAAGTTTATTTAATAAGTATTTATATTATCCCTAAGGAGATAAAATAAATAATAAAATAATAAACTTTATATTGCTTGTTTACTGATGTTATTGTCATGAAATTCCACAATTTTCTGTCTTTCATTTTTTTGCTTATAAAAACAACCAAAAATGCATTATTATTTTCCTTGTGCTACAGTAAGATAATAGTAATGGTAATAACACTTTTATCCCAAAAGTTAGTAATAAAGTTACGGTATAATAAGAAATATATACTTTGATTGGTATTTACAAACAAGGTTTTAAATACTCCTAAAATGACAACTTTCTCAAATAGTTGCAACCCTTTTTAAAACAATTTCTTTATCAGCATTGTACGTGTTATTAAATTTACGGAAAGTTAATAAATAATATGTCTAATAACACCTAAAACACACATATTCAGTTTACTCACAAGACGGTAAATATATAAAATATTGCAAAAGGTGATCGATTTCGATTGGACACTCCAATCATCATCAGATCCAATAGGAGAATGTTTCAATCCAATCAAAATGAATCACCACTTACCATCTTTTTATGAGTTAACAGTATAAGTGTAAATACATGTTTTAAGTGTTATTAGACAATTTTTATTTGTTTCAATGACTTTTTTTTAATAACATTCACATATAAATAATTGTTGTGATTTTTACTTGCAGGCTCAAACAGCCCGGAACACATCCTGGTTTCCTGTGTTTGAGGAGTCCAGTCCAGATGCCATGACACTCACAGTTGTTGGACTTGTGCCGTTCACTCTGTACCGGCTACGTTTGATTGCTCGTAACGTGGCTGGCACATCAGAACCGTCAGAGCCAACCAAGGAGTTCCAGACCATACAAGCTCCTCCGTCACACGCTCCTCACAACGTCACTGTTAGGGCACTGAGTGACACCGAGCTTCGCGTCAGGTGGATTGTAAGTAGCTGTTTACTACTACATTACATTTTATAATGTTATAAAATAGTAGATACATAGCTAAGCTATTACCAGTTATTACATTAAAACTACCCCTATTGTCACTAATCCCATAAAATATATATTCTTGAACTACCGTGTAGCTCCAAGCTCACCATTTCATATTTAAAACTATTTTTACCTTGATGCTTTATATTTTACTAAAAGTTTTCTCTTTTTATAATTTCTTAAACAGCAAATAATAGTTAGGACACTTCTTAAAATTTAAAATGATTTTATTTGAGATGGTATTATTCTTACTTATTAATGTTTAACTATGAGTATAATTGTCATGACTGATGTTCTCAAATTTGAAATTTTGTATCTTGCTTATAATAAAGAACCTTACAAATGAATAATTAGAACAACTACTAGAAAATTTGTTTTCTTTCACTCAATTTTCATTTCACCCTAACCACTACTTCTCGCACACAACTAATCCCATTGTACCATTAATCATTTCATACCTTATTTTAACTTTTTTAACATTTAAATATGTCAATGCCTTTGGCAAATTCACTCTTATATAAAAATAAATAGCTATCTCTTTGGTAATAGTATATTTCATTACTAGGACCAAAAGTGGCATTTTCCAGTGCGCGAGTTTCATGTGTGAGGCAAAGCCGAACACAGGAAAACCAAATTTCACTTGCGAGGCAAAGCCGAGGACGGGAATTATTGAGCAAGTGCCAGAAAATCACTTTCAGTATGAGTTATGAACAATACTTTTCATGACGACACAAAAAACTCACATATAGAAAACAGACCTCAATAACATTAAACTTTTATATTTTTAATATTTGATAAAATACCTATATGAAAGAAAATTGTCCATAGCAAACCTACATAATAAATTAAATGTTCAAGGTTTTGTTTACAGTGCCGTTTTAATTGTTGTTGACAATCACACCTTATCGTTTATAAGTCTTTTTAATGTTTTGAAACATCTTCTTTAAGTAGTTTTAGACTACTCTTTATCCTAAAAAAATCTAATTCACCACCTATATGGTTTTTATGATTATAATACTAATATAAATAAATATATTTATAAATAAAAATACATCCTTCGTCAATCGTCACTTAAATTAGTTTAAAATTTTGTACTTTGTGCCATTACATAAACTTTTTTTATTTCCTCTTCATATCTTTCTCGTGATTTTTCTGTTGGAAGCTTTTTAGTTATCTCTGAAGGTTTTTTCATCATATCACCAGGAATGTTAAAAGTATTAGGAGCAATTTCATAAACGCATCATGCTTAAAACACAGCAAAACAAACTAATGCCTGTTTCTGTATACATTTAGATTGTACAACAATGAAAACAGCTGATTTAAATCATTTTTAAAACCGTAACAAAATACTAGCATGTGTAGTGGGTAAATGAAGAACTAATCGAGAGCGAGGGAAAATCAGCTGTTAGTTTTTCCTCGCTCTAAATTAGAGCTTGGGAAACAACTACTTTTGTGATATCAGCTGTTATCGAAAATAGCTACTGTCGGTACGGAGTGATGAAAGTACAATTTTACAATTTAATCACATAGTTTTTAGTAGGTAATAGTTATTTCTGTGATTTTTTTATTGACTAATTATCTGTTGTTGGTCTACAGCCCCTGCAGCAGACTGAGTGGTTTGGTAACCCCCGAGGTTACAACATCTCGTACAGGGAGGTAGGTAGCACCAGTCCGCCATTGTTTATCATCATAGAGGATCACACAGCAAACTCCCATGTGGTGGACAAACTGGAGGAGTTTGCTCAGTACGAGATCGTGTTGACTGCGTGTAATGACGTTGGTGTGTCGGCCCCGAGTCCTATAGCTTTGGAGCGCACCAGAGAATCAGGTACAGTAGAACCCCAGTTAACCGAAATAAAGGTGGGTGAGACGTTTCAAATAACCAATATTTTGGTTAACCCCTCATATGTTAAAATATAGTCTAATTGAATTAATTGATATGAATTACCACGGTGTGTACGAAAAATGAATTTAAAACAATGTCTATATAGGTTAATACAGTGTTTTATTTCAGTTACAAAAATGTTACAATGGTTTATAAAATATTTTAAACTAAAAACTAAACCACTTAATAAAACATATTTTATCCCTCTATTATTTTGTGAAACTGTTTCGGTTAACCGGGGTTACGGTTCGGTCAACCCGAATTCGGTTAACCGGTGTTTGACTGTATGTTAATATATTCCTTTCTTATCTATCCGACTTTGATTATGTACTGTTGTCATTTAATTTTTTTTTTTAATATATCAACAAATTTATATTATTTACGAATTAATGATTTGTTTATTTAACAAATTCTGTTTTGTCTAGTTAGTAATATTCTCTGGAGTAGAGTATATTTTTTTGTGAAACTTCATTATTGTCTCTTAAATCTTTTATGTTTTGGATTTGAAGGGCAGTTTTACTACCAGTTTCGTTAAATAAAAAAAATATCATTTTTATTATCATTGGTGTGAAATGTTTTTAAGATACAATACAACAAATTCTTTTGTATACAATTTTTAAACCAAGGGAAAAATGTTAATGACCATACAAGAGTTTCAAATGTAAAACACCAAATATTTTTCAGTACCTTCGTTTGGGCCAATGAATGTTGCTGCCAACGCAACATCTTCAACCACGATCGTAGTGCGTTGGGGAGATGTGCCAAGACAGCACAGGAACGGCCAGATAGAGGGATACAAAGTGATCTACGGGACTGGAAACCCACGGAATCCACTACCTCCTCAAGTGAAGGACATACCCTCCAACAGAACATTCACCACTACTCTGACTGAACTGCGCAAGTTTGTGGTCTACAGTATACAAGTGCTGGCGTACACTAGGCTGGGAGACGGCACTCTTAGCACTCCACCAGTCAGGGTCCAGACCTTTGAGGATGGTAGGCTACTTTTCAAATTTAAAAATTGCCTTTTAAAGATGTTTCAGAATATTTTTTTTTACTATTTAAGCTTTTAATGAGATTAAGGCTTATAATGTACGGGTTATTGAAGAAATCATTTTAATGACGCACCGCCCATTGTACAGCATTTGTAAAATATCTATAAAATGATGCCCAAACATTCTAGATGATGCTTTAAATCAACTAATTTAAATTTTTAAAAAATGTTTGATTGACTTTTAATTTTGTTTTTAAATTTACTTAAAAATTTTTAAAACTGGCTATCTTCTTACAGAATATTTTTTAGATTTAAATAGATCATGAAAAACATATTATCTCAGAGTATACAACTTTGATGTTTGTGTTGCAGTACCTGGACCACCATCGAATGTGTCATTCCCAGACGTGTCTCTAACAACAGCCAGGATCATCTGGGATGTTCCAGAGGAGCCGAATGGAGAAATCCTTGCATACAGAGTTAGTTACCATCTGCAAGCAACTGGAAGTCTCAACTTCTCTAGAGAGTTCCCACCTTCAGATAGAACATACAGGTTGGTGTAAACATTTGTTATTTTTCTCTAAAACTTACTTTATCTGCTTTAATATTTCTGTGCAGTTATCATATTTGTTTAATGGCCCAATGTAATTTAATTAACTAAATTTGGTGAGTAGGCTATTTAATATCTTTATTGTTTTTGTCAGCACAATGGTTTTTAAATTATATTGTATCTTTCAAATTATAGATTAGGCTACAATATTACCTTATTCTTACTTTTTCAGGGCAACTGAGCTAGAGCCAGAACAGTACTACCTGTTTTCTGTTACGGCCCAGACCAGACTGGGATGGGGCAAGTCCACAGAGGCTCTTGTCTACACCACTAATAACAGAGAGAACCCTCAACCCCCGTCAGCTCCCCAGCTTAGCCGCAGTCAGGTGCAAGCCACTCAGATCACCTTCAGTTGGGCACCCGGCCGCGACGGATATGCTCCTCTTAGGTACAGGAAGTATTCATCCTAACATGATACTGATGACTGGATTTTTATTCTAGAGTTGTATTTCTTTCATGTAAATTCACAGTTAGGGTTTAGTTTATTTCCATCTTGCTAGACATTTTACTTCAAGATAAAGCATTTATGTTAAACCTTATTCATTTTTTTTATTTTGTTAATATTTAATTTGATCTAATTTTAAATTTTCATTATTCAGTTTCGAGTTTTTATGGGGTAAAAAATTATAAAATGGATTTTTGTAATTTCTGTTTTGAAACATTTACTTTTGACTTGAGACAATCGTATCCAAGTGAAGTATTTGTATTTTAAATGAGATGAATATTTCAGGTACTACACAGTTCAGCTGGCCGAGGGTGCAGGACCTTGGATGTCTGTACAAGAAAGAGTTGACCCATCAGTAACATCATACACTGCCACAGGACTGAAACCATACACAAGCTACAGGTTTAGAATACAAGCAACCAATGACATTGGACCTAGTGGCTGGAGTGTTGAGTCTTCTCAAGTCAGGACTCTACCTGCAGGTACTCTAATTGTCATTAAATATGTTCATACACTGTTTCAATTATTTCTAATGTTAGTTGATTACCTATTTTATGTGTGGTGATTATTTGTTTTGTCTTGCAGCACCCAGTAAGGGAGTCAGTGATGTCAAAGTGATCCCAATAACCACGACGAGTGTGAGAGTAGAGTGGACAGCAATCCCAGACAACTTCTGGTCTGGTGATCCTGAAACTGGAGGATACAGGATTGTGTTCCAACCGGTGTCTGATTTCCCTACCTCACTTCAGGCAACACCCAAACAAGAGGTCAAGGGAATTAAGGTATGTTACAACAACATTTGCTTAAAATGATGTATTTAAATAATTTATTCGTCCTACAGTTAAATATTGATTTGTTCAACTATAAATATATGTTTCTCCTAACATTGTTGTCTTGTTATTTGTAAATTTGTTTACAGGTTTTTTACATGTTTAGATTTTGTTTAATTACTGATCGAAGATAAGAGATATACTATGACATTTTGCCGCAACCTGTAGGGTTAGGTAGTAATGGGAAAACAGTTCCGGGCTAGATCTTAGTGTCCTAGAATTTAAAAGTAAGATAGTACAAAAAATTGTATCTAACTGTGGTAAAATTTTGATAATATTTTACTTATATTTTAAATAACAATGAAACCCCCTTTGGACTATTACTAATCGTTTTCAAAACAATCTGAATCTGGATATCAGATATGTTTTTCTATATTAAACTCCTTAGCAGTAAACCCCAGTATGCATTTCATCTGTCTTGTCTACAGACAACATCAGTAGTACTGACAGAGCTGTCCCGGGACCACAACTATGAGATCGTGGTGGTGCCATTCAACTCGCAGGGTGCTGGGCCGGCGTCACCCCCTGTAGCAGTGTACGTGGGTGAGGCGGTCCCTACAGGACGACCTAGGAGTGTCACTGCTGAACCTGTCAGTTCTACTGAGGTACGCCTACACTGGCTGCCTCCCCAGCAGAAGGAACAAAACGGAGACTTACTTGGCTACAAGGTATAGGCATTATTTTGTATTTTGTGCCTTTTTATTTATTGAAAGAAGAAAAAAACAAAAATACAAAACCTGATCTTTTTAATATCCAGCATCACCCTTACATTAGGTAGCATTATTAGTTGAAAGCTCAATGGCGATTGACATCTGGGTTCAGAACCAACTCTTTTTGGATGAAATCAGCAACCTTCAAATTTGGTGAGCAATAAAGCGAGCACAAACCACTCACCTACCCAGACATATCATCTGTATCAACCACAACCAGGGAGTGTTCTGTACCCCCTACCTTGTAAAATGCATAACAAAATAATCCTTTCATCGTTTTCCCTTTACTACCCTTAATTACAGCTAAAAATGTGAAAAAGTAGTGTAGAAAATAGAAATAGAACGAATCAATTTCTTAAAAAATAATTGACTATTAATTTTATGCAAGCACAGGAATCCATAAAATTCTCCATAAAAATCTTGTGTGCACCTCGGGAAGGTGTTAATAACTTTGTAAAATTTATACAGTGCCCTTACTGACCTATCTTGATTTCTTAAGTTTAACCAAGCCCATGTTTGTAAATAAATAAAAACTCACCACATTGATTGTGTTGACAGATCTTTTACCTGGCCACAGAGCTGTCACAAGAGCTAGATCCTGAGGACAAGGTAGAGGAGGAGCTGGAGGTAGTGCCTGCGTCCTACACTGGCCACAGTTTGGTGTTCCTGGACAAGTTTACTGAGTACAGGATACAGATACTAGCATTCAACCCAGCTGGTGACGGGCCTAGGTCTACACCCGTGGTCGTCAAAACTCTACAGGTAACGAATCAAATAACTCATTCAATTAAAAGTAACTGGGTAAGATACAAACATATCCGATAAAGAATTATGAGTTAGTTTTATATTAATCTGTTTCGTTGTGTATATTTAATTATTAATGATATTTACAGGGACTTCCTGGACCTCCGAGAGATTTGAGATTTTCTGACATCACAATGACCAGTCTGCTTGTATCTTGGGACCCACCGAAAAAGCGGAATGGAGAATTGATTGGATACATCGTTACTTACGAAACTGCAGAGCAAAATGAACGTAAGTTCATGCTTTAATATAAAACTTGTTTTATCATTTAACTGTAAATATATTTAAAATAATAGTTTGTGTAGCATGTGTGAGTTTTTTTTCCTTGAAAAAGTCAATTGTTATTATTATTGAATAAACATTTCTTTCCAAACTGTCACACTTTAAATTAAACTGGTTTGTATTGTAGGTAAAAGAAAAACTATATATTAGGTACTATGAATGTTACAAAACCTCGTTTTCATTGAAGGCTAATTGAATATTTTTACAACTTTTAAGTAGGCCTAACCAAGTTTTTTTATTTAAGTCATTACTTACTTCACATCACAATACTTATTTAGTGTTTATTTGTAATAAAACAAGTTTGTAATACATATATTTGTTAATAATACCACACCAATTTTGTTCACAGGATTTAGCAAACAAGTGAAGCAAAAGGTGTCAGATAAAAGTCTGTTGGTGCAAACGCTTGAGGAGGAAGTCACTTACACATTCACTGTGCGAGCTCAGACCATTGACTACGGACCTGCTGTGAAAGGAAATGTAACAACCGGACCACAAGAAGGTTCACCAACACGACCCAAGGAACTTACTGTTGGCAAGACTGTGTCATCCGTGGAGCTACATTGGGTGAACGGTGCCTCAGGAAAAGGACCTATCCTGGGATACTACTTCCAGAGCAAGAGAAAAGGTGAGATGATCCTACATATCTAACTGACTATATGAACTACCAATGGTGTCGGTGTTTGGCAGTAACTACTAATATACAATGTCAATTTGTGTTCATGTTAACAATTCACAACAAAAATTCTATTTTTGTATGTAACTGATATTTTGTATTTAACAACAAAAAAGATAGATATGCTGTGAAATAAATGCAAATGTATTCTCTGTTAAAAGGGTTTGCAAAATATACTATTAATCAAGATATCGTTTTTTGGTAATTATTTACTATTAATTAGCAGTATGTACAAGTTCATGGACTATCTGTGTCTGATTTATTTATTGTTTTGTATTCTCATAATAAATTAGTATTATCTCAATTGTTTAACCCAAATATAACTGTAGGATAGTTATTATTCCCTTGGCACAGTATTGAGCAAATCTGACCTGTTTATTATACAATTAAACATAATGTTACAAAAACTGTTCTTATAATGCAGGTATGAAGAGTTTATTTTGGACCGACAATATAAATCAATACACAATATTTCCTTGTTATTAACAAAATATAACAAAACTAATTAGTTCCTTATCACTTAACAAATTTTAATAAATTAGGCTTCTGCTAGTTTTAATTTATGCCTTTTATTTGTTTAACATTGTGTTGCCATTAAGGTATGTTTTTGATTGATTTTATTTAATTAATTTTTTGCATTTTTGTTTTACATTCCATAGCAGTAATGGAAGAATGGCAGCGGTGTAAGTTTAGTATGCGATTTTAATTGTGTTTAGCACATTATGCTTTAATTTAACACATTGCATGCCTTGAGTTTACTATCTAAATATGATTTTGTTTAAAGAAATGTACCTAACCTTTGTCATAGCAGGTGTTTACATCAACTAACAACATCCTATGAGCGTACCTGTAACTAAAATGTTTTCAGAGATCTGTAATAAACCATGTCCGACCCTCCCTGTTTGATATAGCAGAATAGAGCTTAGATTTAAGTGTGTATAAATTAGTAACAATTAAATTGTGTGATTTTTGTGTGTGATTTGTTAGAAAAATGTACATTTTAATGCTAATGTATTTGATTGCTGATGTAACTGAAACTGATTTACTTCCTATAATTTTTGCTGTAGAACTTTTGGAACAACAATATGTTGATTATATGGTAGAAAAAAATAAACAGCAGCAAAAAATCCACTATTTATGTTTTAAAAATCTAAAAGAATGTTGTTTGAATAAATACGGAAAATATTGATATTTAACATGGTTTAAAAATATAATACGGAAACGGAACCAATATTAATCTTGCACATAGTGTATTAAAGTGTAAAATTAATTACAAATTATTACCAAATTTAAGGATTTCAAAATATTTAAAAATATATTCTTAAATCTTGTATCCAAAACAATTTTTTTAATGTAGAAGATACAGTTGAAATTTATTCTCTCTGATATTTGCTTTTATTTTGAATCATCTCGAAAAATAATATTTTTATTTTTGATTCATTAAAACTATATAATCAATTAATATTAAAATGCAGTTTTGTATAGTTATAACTTTGCAACTAACATATTTAATCACCATGCTAACAAAAAATGTAAGAAGCAAGACAACTAAAATAATGGTAATATCCGTATCATGAAATTTACTTCTATGTATATACCTATTGAGATTGGCTCACTTGAGCCTTACTGACATTATTAACACACTCAACATTTCTAAGTTGATGATCAAAACTGAAATGATAATAGAAAAATATATGTGTTTTGTTGTTTACTAAAATTCAAATCATTTTACTTCTGATCTGCTCTAAAAGCCTTTATGGTCATTGGAATTCTGTTTTATTTAATGACTTGAACAAATTAAAATATTATAAACTAAATTATATATATATAGATATAAAATTCAAGATTTTATTCTCAAATTCAGTGGATCCAATTTAATATCTAAATCTTCTTTTAAAGATTTAGCAGATTCAACATTATTGGCCTTGACACAATGATGTAATTTTTAGGTATTTAATGAAACAATATTAGACATTCATCTTAAGATCAGTTGTAAGGGTAAATAATGTGTTTATAGGTCTTCAACTGTAACTTTAAATATTTATTCATGAAATTGTATTTTTAAAGTCTTTTGAGATTTGTCCTTTTTGATGATTTTTTTTTTCTTCCAGGTACTTTTAATTTTATTCTAACAATTTAATTTCACGTTTAATTTTGCGATAGCTCATTTTGTTGTATTTGACTAATATAGTATGTTTGTGTTCCAGATGACACCAGATGGACTACAGTGACCCGCACTGGTAATGGTCCTCTGCAGGAGTTTGCCATATCCTACCAGAGTCTGCTGCCTTCTACTGCCTACACCTTCCGGGTGATATCATACAACAAATATGGCATCAGCTATCCTGCCTACTCTGATGACGTGGTTAGTATGTTCTATCAGTTACCGTATTTGCCTATTCTGATGATGTGGTTGGTATGTTTAATCAGTTATCCTGCTTACTCTGATGACGTGGTTAGTATGTTTCATTTATGTAAAAAAAGTTGTTATAAACTCTACGTGTAAGTTCAATAATTCTCTTTGTTAAAAGGAAAATAATAACTATGATTAATATTTTTTTAGGTTTTGACGCCATCAAAGCTCTACCTAGAATATGGATACCTCCAGATGAAGCCTTTTTACCGCCAGACATGGTTCATGGTAGCTTTGGCTGCAGCGTCGATTGTCATCATCATCATGGTGGTTGCCGTCCTCTGTGTTAAAAGCAAGAGTTATAAATACAAACGTAAGTGTCATGCTAATAATTTAAGCTCTTCTACCTAATTTGTTAAACAGTAGATGTAACAACTTTATCCAAATAAGTTATAACTGAATCATTAATTTGGAATTTAGTTAGACCTTTGTAAAATGTTATTAATTAAGTCATAATCATGCTACTTCATAAAATAAGATTTAAAAATTATATATTATACTCGTGACTTGTATGGTAGTATTGTGCACATTTACTGACAATATCCAATTACAAATCTGTAGATGTTTGTTTGATCACAGTTTTTTGTGCCTTTTTTGTATTTCTTAAACCACAATAAGGGGAAAAATATTCGTCTTGAACGCTAGCATTGCAAAGCAATTTCTCCATATCAAAGTGCCATCTTGTTTTGTATTTTTGTTAATAGTTTTAATATGATACTACACTAATACAAATTGTGTATGAAAATATATTATTTTGCAAAATCTCAAATCTTGTTTTTAGTATATATATTTTGTGGTACCTGTATCTCAAAATAAATGTGGTTCGGATTCCACTATAAACTGTAGGTCCCTTAGTTGCCATTAGCTGTTTGGGCTATTAATTAACAGCTGTGTCTAAGGAATGTCGGCCTTAGTCACTAACAAGACTACAAGATCGCGCCACTCATCCTACACTCATCCCCATTCATACTTGGCTTAAAATACCTACATAGTATGGTCGCCATTTCATAAGAAAGTATAAAGTAAAGTATATTTTTTTCTTATGTTTTGACTTAAATTTTATTTTAACATAATTTTCAGAAGAAGCACAGAAGACCCTAGAAGAGTCTATGGCTATGGACATTGATGACCGCCAGCAGCTAGCCATGGAGCTGTACCGTGGAGGAGGTACATTGGGCAAACGTAGCACTCTGGCTAGGAAACATCTGGCTCCCCCCGGTCCTCCTATGCTGGGCAAGTCCCCCCCTCGCCCCTCTCCTGCTTCAGTGGCCTACCACAGCGACGAGGAGAGTCTCAAGGGCTACGACGAGAACCCTGACGACAGCAGCGTCACCGAGAAACCCTCGGAAATCAGCTCTTCAGAGTCACAGGTTTGTGCTTATTTTAATTTTAATTTTATACTCTTAAAAAAAAATAGGCCCAACATTTATATTGTTATTAAAGGTTTTGTTATCAAAGTTCCACTAAATAATTATGTTATAATTTGGCTTTGAAACAATATTTTCAACATTTTAAAGTTTATTAAACAAAATATTGAACCATTTTGGAATGCTCTATTGGGCACATAAACCACATTTTTATTGTGCATTTTTTGTTAACCCTTCCAACTTCCAACCCACTTGGGAAATTCTAAGTGACATATTGTGTTTAACATGCTCATCACAAACCTCTTTTGTTGATGTTTAGGGCTCGGAAAGTGAGAATGAGAGTGTGCGCTCGGATCCACACTCGTTCGTCAATCACTACGCCAATGTGAACGACTCGCTGCGGCAGTCGTGGAAGCGACAGAAGCCTGTACGCAACTACTCTAGTTACACAGACTCAGAACCTGAGGGTAGTGGCAGTGCTGTGGTCAGTCTCAACGGAGGACAAATCATCATGAACAACATGGCCCGCAGTCGCGCACCTCTACCAGGCTTCTCATCCTTTGTATGATCTCCAACACGTGCAATGTAAATAGTTCTAGTTATAGTGAAAGTATGTTGAATGTGATCATTGTGTATATATACCTACGTTGGGAAACAGTGGAATTTAGATTGGTTATTATTTATAATTTTTGAATGTGTTCAGTTTTTATTCCTATTACACATATAAAAAAAAGTCTAAAAGAACTTCAACTCTATTAAAATTAATAGAGTTGAATAAAAGTCAAAAGTATTATTAATGCATTTTCTATAAGATTCCAACCTTATTAAGGCATTTAGTTAGTTACAAATGGCTTTTACAATGTAAGAAAAGAAACAAAATTATACTTTGCTAGTTGTTTGGAAAGCATTTAGGACTCCATGGATAGAAATTATTGAAAATTAGCAAAATTGAGTAAATTGTTTATTGGTTTAACATTTAAAATTCATATTTTGTATTTGTTTTATTTATATAATATAATTATATTATATGAATAATATAATTTTTATATCATTTTATATTTCTATTAGATTTAAAAAGTGAGATTAATTTTACTTAAAGTAGCTGCGTGTAAGTAGGCCTATATATTCTATACTTTCTGTGTGCCAGTTTTAAGATCAAACAACAAATAAGTTATGTTATAGTTGTAAGAAACTGTTCATTAAAATTGTATAATATAAAATTTATTTGTATATACCACTGATTCCCAAAACTGTATCTTAATTACAGTGGAGATGTCTCAACACATTAATGTTAGTGTCATTTTGTATATTTATACACTGAGAATCAAACTTTAATCCTTACTTTCCTCAAACTAGTATTAAGGGAGACCGCAAGTAAAGCGGCCGTTAAGTAAAAAAGTCTGAGGCAGCTATGCTGTGTTATATTTTTATACTATAAGCAGCTAAATAGAACATGTATAGATTTGGTCTGTATATTATTTATTACTCTTTGTTCTAATTTCCTAGAACAATTGTGACAGAGATGACCATAACATTGTAAAATATTGTAATTATAGATTTTAAAATGCATTTCTAAACTTATTGTAAGACAACATTATGTAGTAAGGTAATCATTCCTCTAGTTGCACGAGCACTGTCGCATGTGTTGTAGACTGGTTTAGAATTTAGAAAAGTCTGATCTATTTATTGTTTGTTCATTTAAATGTCATGAGAGCTACAAACTTTAAAATTTGGTAGTTTAAGTGGGGGAAAGTAATTTTGTTGACAATTATTAAGTTAATTTTTTCTTGACGTGCAATGTTTTGTATGCTAATTTTTAGACTTATCACGACTGTGTAAGATGGTACTAAGTGATGCCTGATGATATCTAGTAAATCATACTGTATATTCTAAGGTATACAATTATAAACGTAAAACAGCACTGTATTATTTTAAACTTGTTTGTAGTAAACTTATTACAAACATTGTTTACACATCAATCTGTGTTCACAGGTATTCTTACAATGTTCAAGTGTATTATGACAGATTGTTATTTTTAGTGGTTATCAATTTCCGTCCACTACATTATAATTTCTTGAAAGTGGACGGCTATTACCTAACCAAGTGTATTTATATCAAAGAACTATTGCAATTGTCTATGAGGTAATTTAAGAACTAGAGACTGATATGGCTTTTCATTTTATATCTATCTGAATCATATGATGCTGAATACTTAACAACCATGAAATCTTTCGCCTTAGATATTTTTTCATGACAATATTTTTTAGTTTTTGATAGAATATAATCAAATCATACAGTCTTAGTATGATATTTTATTCAAACCTATGCGATAATTACTGTAATAAATCTGTGTGTTTTTTTATTGAAGGATCCCAGACAAATACACATACACTACAGTATATTTCGTACCTAGGGCCGAAAATGAGGTTTTGCCGGCTCGAGATAGTTTTTAAGTTCGAGACGAAGTCGAGAACTTAAATCAATTGAGAGCTGCAAAACCATTTTGGTCCGTGGTAAGAGCGCTATTTTTCACCACACTATAGCCTATTACCACTATTCACCACTATAATAATGCACACTGATTGTCAACACTACTACAATTTTAAGGTTATGCGAAGAAATAATTTGAGGAATCAGCAAAAATAAAAATAAATAAAAATAAAAAAATAAATGCTAGGCAACGGTGACAATAACACAATTCTATTGCAATATATGGATTTTGATTGTGTATTTAAAATGCATTCATGTTTTAAGTAAGTAAGCGGACAGCTGACTTTGCGGTCCCGGGCTGTAAAAACCTGCTCGGTCCCCAAATTACGATGACAGCTGGCATGGCCAGCAAAACGTAACTTTCAGCCACCAATTAACGTATGTAATACAGCTAAAAACATCATAGTGTGGTGAAAAATATATTGCTTTAAGTACTAAGATTTTTATTAATTTAAGTGACATAATACGAACAAATTACATTATATTAATCCTTTCTCAATTATGTTTGTAGCTTCCTAAGTAAACAAATGTTATAGGCATTTTAGATGTGTACATATTAATGTAAAACATATTTAATGAGCCATATTGTCAATTTGTTGTCAGTAACTGTGATATAATTTGTTTAATGATTTATGTATTGTGTATATTATTGTATATTGATTAAGTTCCCAAGTGTAATAAAGTAGAATGCTACTTAAATATGCATAAAATAAAAGAATTTGTAAAATAAATTTGTTTAAATTTTTAACTTATTGTGTTATTTTTCCCTGTTTTACTTTCCATCTGACAAGGCTGTTCTTTTCTTCCTAAGTCTGATGTGAAGAGCGGCAATCTGTTCATGTATGTTCAACCTATGTGTACAGTTTCAAATTTATTAGTCATGGGCTACTATATGACACTTTTGTTATGCTATATCCAGTATTATATTCTCTTTTATAAAACTATGTATTGTGGTACTAATACCATTAAGTGTTCGATTATTGAGAGTCTACCATTAAGCAGTATAGACTCCAAGTTAGTATTCTGTTTACATTGTAAATTATCTTTTATTTGTTTTAAAATCAACACAAAAATTTAAAAACCCTAAAAAAATACTAATCAATTGTTTATATTATTTTTAAACTCCAATGATGGATACTGTTAAGCTCAGTATGGAAGTCATTGGATACTTGAATATCAGATGCTAATATATTACTTTGGAGCATCGTAAAGTTGGGCTGTCTCGAGAAGGCAAGGAATATAAAGAGGGTTTTGAATACATAATATTTCCCTTGGTTTAACTCAAAAGAGAACTGAAATACTATATTATAATAGCAATACAGTAAAATTAAATTTATCGGTACTCGATATATCTGTAAAAAAATGATGAACAGAGCTATAGCATTGTTATAATACTAAATAAATAGTATCAGCAATCTGACACATACTTACTCCCATTAGTTTGTCATCTACTTTTATCATTTTATAGAGAAAAAAAGTTGCAATAACTTTTGAACCGTAATGTTTTCAGCGATGGGGTTGCACTATTTTGTTTAGAATTATAAGGGCCATAACATACTAATTTTAATCAAAACCGGTTTTTTAAAATCCAATTTTCTGTTTTCTTATGGGAAAATAACATACCAGTTATTATAACTTTTAAACCGTAATTTTTAAAGCAATACAAGTTGTACCATTTTGTTCAGAATTTAAAGGGCTATAAAATACAAAATTTTTATCAAAATCGTTCAGGCCATGTTTTAGGAAATTAGATTCTTCCATTATTTTATGGGTTTTATGGAAACAATTCCATTTGAAATAAAAATTTCAGAAAAATTAAAAAAAAATCCCTGGAGATGGCATGGAACACTTTTTTTGGGTCCAGGGGGGCCCAAAAGGGATATCCACTCTAAACTCAAACTTGAAAATGTTGACGAAAACAATAGGTTCTTCATTTACTATGGTATAGGGGGAGAAAGTAAACTTGGTTACAGATATTTCAATCACTCCATTACTTGATCATTATCATTAATACTAATGTATATTAATTTAATATTTGTAGTAGGCCTATAATTAAACAATAATATTACTGTACAATTAATTTCAAACAAGCTTAGAAAATGGTTTTCTAAACGAGTTAGGTAATAATTTTATGAAAAATTAAAAATTAAACAAATTGTGTAGGTACATAATAAAAAATTATTTTGCTTCAATGTGGATATGTCTTGTGAATTCAGTTAAATAAAAAACCATGCCAACATTTGACCAATTATCAAAGTGAAAAATAAGTTTATTGAGCGGAGCGAGCGAGGCGAGCGTAGCTCTTTTGGATCAACTTCAATGCAACAAATAGAGAAACATCAATCAATAACGGCTGAACGCATTTCAGCCAAACTTAACAAAATTACTTAGACTAATAGTGAGATGGTTTTTAAACAAGCAAATTTCAATTAGATAATACTAATGCAATTTAAAACGAACTTAAAATTTCCAATTTTTAACATTAGGCTTATGGGACTAAAGTAGCCATATGACAGTTTTTTGTTTACAAGAAAAATGTAAACAAGAGAATCATAAGGAATCAGAATCAGAATCAGAATCAGAAAAGCTTTATTCAAGATTTATACATTATATACCTACATGAAATATATGCATAAATACAGAATGGCGTCAAAACAGCTTATTACTAATTAAAAATACTTTGTTAAACTAAATAAAACAGGAAAATTTAATTAATGTAATTACATGTTGTAAAACTCTTCAAATGAGTAAAATGCTCTATCAATTAGTAACAATTTAAGTTTTTTTTTAAAAGACCTAATGTTTTTTATATCAAATATTTCTTTTGGTAAATGGTACAAAAACCTAATACCTGCAGCTGTTGGTTTCTTGTTATAAAACTCCAGTTTGTGTTGTGTTACGGATGGATAATTTTTATGCCTAGTATTATATCTATGATTATCCCCCAGCAGTGGCACCTTGTCTTCAGAAGCCCTCACATGCATAATAGTGTGCAATATATATGAGCTGTAAACGGTTAGAATTTTTAATTTAGGAAAATATTTTTTGGCCGATTCTTCATCATCCAGATTTAACATGATTCTTATTGCCCTTTTTTGAAGGATTAGAATACTTTGTAAATTTTGATTACTTGTAGCTCCATATAACTCAATACCAAATGTAATGTGTGAGTTGATATGTGCATGGTAAACCTTAAGCAATATCTCAAGGGAACAAAATTTTGACAGATTTCTTAAGGCAAATAAACCCGAGGAAATTTTATGTAACAATTTATCCGTATGGAGTGACCATGATAAATTTTCATCAAGCAATAAACCCAAAAATTTTGTTACCTTTACCTGAGTAATTTGGAGATCATTTACTTTAATACAGAATTCTGGATTTTTCTTTTGTGCTGTACTGAATGACATAAAATTGGTTTTATTAAAATTGAGAAATAATTTATTGAAGTTTAAGTAGTTTTTTATAGATAACAGATTGTTTTGGGCCGACTCTTGTATTTTATTAAAACATTTACCAGAAACCAACAAATTTGCATCATCAGCATATAGACACAATTTTGCCATATTATCTGTTAATGCTGTTGGCAGACCTTTAATATAACAAAGAAATAAAATGGGACCAAGGATCGAACCTTGAGGTACACCATATTTGATACACCTCAAAGAGGATTTTACATTTCTTAATTGGTTGAAATTATTTATATGATTAATTTCCACATATTGTAATCTGTTTTCAAGGTAAGATTGAAACCAATTTAAAGCATTGTTAGCAAAACCAAAATTTTTTAAAATTGAAATTAATGTTGAATGGCAGACACTATCAAAGGCTTTACTAATATCCATAAACACCCCGACAGTGCTCTCACCCTTATCAATAGCATCAATTATAGTTTCTATCAAATCAATTGTTGCAGTGACAACAGATTTACCGGGCCTGAATCCATGTTGCTCAGTATCAAATAAGCTATTATTTTCTAAGAAATTCATTAATCGTGAATGCATGGCACGCTCATAGATTTTTGATAAGCATGGCAAAATAGATAATGGTCTGTAATTAGAAGGGTCCTTATTGCTACCAGATTTATGTAATGTTTTAATTTTAGAGATTTTTAATTTACTTGGAAATATTCCTGAAATGAAAGAAGAGTTGATTAAATGAGCCAATGGTTTAGCTAAAACATCTTTAGCACTTTTTAAAACAGGCATAGGAATTTCATCAAAACCACAGGTAAACTTGTTTTCAAAAGAAGAAAGAATCTTGTCTACTTCAGCTTCATCAACAGGCTTTAAATAAAATTTTACTGAATTTACAGGATTTGAGATTGCACCAAGAGCTCCCGAAGACAAGTCCCCAATCCTATCTACCAAACTTACAAAATGATCATTAAATATTTCACATATATCATCAGGTTCAGTGTATTCAAAGTTACCAATTTTTAATTGGATTTCATTTTCACGAACTCGGTTTCTGTTTAGTTCCCTATTAATAATATTCCAAGTAGTTTTTGAGACATTACTGGCATTTCTTATATTGCTTTCGATATAATGTCGTTTAGTACTATTTAATTGGGCTGCGTAGCTTCTTTTCAGGTCTTTTAGCTTTTTTATTAAAAACTTATCCTTATTTACCCTAATTTCTCGGCTTAATAGTATTATTTCATCTTTAGCTAACTTAAGTTCCGGAGTAATCCAATTTTTTGATTTTGAACAGGCACGAGACTTTAACTTAGGAAAGCAACTATCAAAATAAAACATAAGGATATTAAAAAATACATCATATTTTTCCTCTACAGTCGCTAAATATAAATCAGTCCACGTTTCCTGTGCAAGATAATTTTTGAATTTGGTTAAATTTTCAGGAAGGAATTTTCTACTAGATTTAATAGTAGGTTTGTTAAACTTTTGTTTAGAAGAGATGTCCCGAATTTCTAAGAGTTGAGCGTCATGATCAGAGAGCTCAGTGATTAGGCCTGATACTAAAAGATTGTTTTTAGGAATTGTAGTAAATATATTATCAATACCACTTTCACCCTCTAATGTTATTCTAGTAGGAAAGTCTACCAAATAATGCATATTATATTCATTTAAAATATTATTGAATATCTGATAGCCCTTGGAAAACTTAAGAACGTTAATATTAATGTCTCCAGCCACAATTACTCTTTCATATTTTTCAAAAATAAGGCCTAACAAACTATCTAATTTTTCAAGAAAAATATTTTCGTATACAGATCCTGGAGTTCTATACAAACCAACCAATAAAAATATGAAATCATTAACTCTCGCCTCAATCATACAACATTCAAAATACTTATCCTTAACCAAATTTTCAACTGCAGGAATTATAATTTTTTTTACTTTAATATGGTTACAGTCACGAGAAAGAATCATAACACCTCCACCTAAGTAGGTTTTCCTACAGTAATAGCTTACAATATTATAGTTAGAAATGTGTGCAAAACTAATTTCATCATTATTGAGCTTGTGTTCACTAAGAATAACAAAATGGGGCTTTAGTTCGTCTAAAATAATTTCAAGGGATAAAGTACGAGATGAAAAATGCTGGATATTTTGATGGAGAATTAATACGTTAGAGGAATGTTTGTTTGTTACAATAGGAGAGGAGGTGTTATTTTTGAACATTTTTACATTATTTACAATAGTATCTTTACACCTCAAACAACCATTTGGCAAAAAAGATACATTTTCAGAGATGTCTAGTGGGTTTTCAAAATCCAAATTCATA